CCCAAAACTTAATGGCTAAAAATGATAACCATTTATTATTCCACAGTTTCTGTGGGCAGGAATCCAGGCACAGCTTAGCTGGGTGCTTCTGCCCCACGGTCTCTCACAAGGCAACAATCAAGGTATTGGCCAGGTCTTTGGTGTCATTTGATGGCTCAGCTTGCGGAGAATCAGCTTCCAAGCCCACTGACATAGTTGGAGGCAGGATTCAATTCCTTACTAGTTGTTGGAATGAGTGCCTTAGTTCCTCACTGGCTGTTGGCTGGGGGTCTCCCTCAGGTCCTTTCCATGTGGACCTCTCCATAGGGCAACCAACAACATGGCAGCTGGCATCCCTCACAGGAAACCAGAAAGACAATAAGAGAAGGCAAGCAAGATGGAAGTCAGAGTCTTTTTGTAAATGAATCTTCAGAGTGTTATCCTAGCACTTTTCCCATAGTCTATTGGGTTTGTTTGTTGTTTTTTTTTTTTTTTTAACTCATTAGAAGAGAGTCAACTAGGTTCAGGGCACACTCAGGGGAAGGGATTACATGAGGGTGTGAATACGAGAAGGTAGGGATCATTGGGGGCCATTTTACATGCTGCCCAGAGTTCTTACTTTTTTTAGAGTTGGTTTTTCTCAAGTGTCTAGTCATCCTTATTTCTAAGTGAAGGACCTTGTGGGTTATTATCAGTAGCTGGCATGAGTTTACTCTGTGACTGTGAATGCAGGGTTTGTGTAATGTGTAGGCTTCCCTTTCAGGTGTGTGCGCAGGCAGGCAGGCAGGTAGGCTGGGGATTCCCCCAGACCTCATTTAGAAGTAGAATGGTTTAGTGTATGTTGCAAATACACCCTAAGGTGACTGTCAGTGAGTCATGCCCTTGTATAATTCCCTACCCTTTAGTGCTGGTGGAACCTGTGACTTGCTTCTAGTCACTAGAGTATGGCAGAGGTGTTTGGATAGTCACTTATTTGATTAGGTTATGATATTTGCAAAGGAAAAGAGATTTTTCAGGTATAATTGCAGTCCCAAATCAAAGTCAATTTTGAATTAATCAAAAGGGAGACTATCCTGGTGGGGCCTGGCTTAATAAATTGAAAGCCCTGAAAAAGGGAAAGGGGCCCTCCTTGAAGTCAGAGATGCTCTCCTGCTGGCCGTGAAGAAATAAGCCACCATGTGTTCTATAGCTGCAAGAAAATGAATTTTCCTAACAACCTGAATGAGCTTGGAAAATGTTCTTCCCCATTCAAGCCTCCAGATGAGAATGCAGCTTGACTACAGCCTTGTGAGATCCTGAGCAGAAGACCCAGCTAAGCTGAGCCTAGACTCCTGATGCACAGAAATTATGAGATAATAAACGTGTGGATTTTTTAAATTTATTTATTTATTTTTTTGCCATTTCAACATGTTTGAGCCACTGAGTTTGTGGTAAAAGAAAACTGTTGTTTTCTGTTGTTGTTGGGTGCCATTGAGTCGATTCTGACTCATAGCAACTCCATGTGTCAGAGTAGAACTACCACATAGGCTGTAATCTTTACAGGAGCAGATTGCGAGGTCTTTCTCCTGTGACGCCTTTCGGTTAGCAGCCGAGTGCTTAACCATTGTGCCATCAGGGCTCCTTAATAGGAAATGAATACACCTTATTTCACTCCTAAGAGGGGGCCGTTCCTGTTTTGTTTCCCACTTGTGCCTGCTTTGGATGTCTGGGTAAAGCCACGCTCTGTTCTTTTCTCTCAGTGTCCAGCTCCTTCCGTAGGACCCTTGTTTAGGAAGATGACCTCCTTTCTACAAAGAGCCAACAATCTTTCGCTGTGACATGAGGGCCTTGTCACTGCTGCCAGCCATGCCTTTTATTTATGTATTAATTTTAGGGGAATGGGAAGAAGAGGTACATAACTTCCTGTTGTTCTGAAGACGCTTGCTTAGGGAAATACCTTAATGAGGGCCCCTTTGCTGTTTGTATTTATTGATTTACAGCTTGGAACTTCTCCAAGCCACCCGTAGTGAGAACCATGCTTTTGCAAGTGTCTTGTCTGTGGGTTCCTCTACGCTGATTTCCCCACCAGTCTGATTCCATTTGGTTTTTCTCTTCATGGAATTTCTCAAAATTTCTAGTCTGTTCTCATAGCATATTTTCTTGTTTTATGGTGCTGGCGTGGTTTCAAGGGGACCTGGAAAGTGGAGGGAGGCAGACATCAGTGATCAGTCTGCTAGAACTCAGCCCAGCATCCTGCTCTGGACTTGCCTTTTTCTTCTTTAATGGGAAAATAAAATTCTTTTGCATATAACTCTGATCTAGCATATTCCTAGTAAATTTGGCATATTTCTAATACAATTTATTATAAAACTAAAAGGCTAGGGTTTTTATTACAATAATTACTTTGCTTATGCTTTATTATTATTTCCTTCTTTTAAACTTCCCAACAGTAGCACATTTCTATGAGGACTCTGTGCTTTTCTTCCCCTCCTCCCACTTATACTGCCTTTCTTTTCTGTCAGGGTGATTTCTTAGAGCAAGTGACTTAAAAATGTTGCCGACAGCATGTGTTTTTTCTCTAGCACTAATAGCACACATGATGTAAGTGCTGAGGATGTTGAGGTAATTGAATTAAATTTGTGAGTTTGGAATTGTCTTAAGACTATTCTGGTTCTGAGTAACACAAATCTACTCAAACTAGTTTAGGGAATTTATTAGAAGGAAACTGCAATATCTCACTAAACCTAAGGGTAAAACTACTCAGGTATCACGAGGGACTGGAACCAGAGACTAGAAAGCTGACAAGACCTTGAGTAGTCATTACCTTCATGCCTCAGATTTTCTATCTCTCTTGCCTTTGCTTTTCTGAACATCTACCTGTTCTTTTCCCTCTCAGTACACTGACTGCTTTGGCATGGATGTGGCCAAACATGGCTGCCTCACAATGGCAACCTGAGGTCCCAAGCAAATAGGTCAGAGGCCTAATCCCAAATTCCCGGTAGAAAGAATCTAATTGCCTTTGTTTGGGTTATTGTTATCGTTATTGTTAGCCGCGGTCGAGTTGGCCCCCGACTCATGGTGACCCCATGCACAATGGAATGAAATGCTGCCTGGTCCTGCACCATCTCCATGATTGGTTGTGGATTGGACCTTTGTGATCCATAGGGTTTTCACTGGCTGATTTTCACAAGTAGATCATCACAAGGCCTTTTTTGCTAGTCTGTTGTAGTCTGGAAATTCAGCATCATAGCAACATGCAAGCCCCCACTGATGGATGGGTGATGGCTATGTATGAAGTGCATTGGCCGGGAATTGAACCCAGGTCTCCCACATGGAAGGCGAGAATTCTACCAATGAGCCACCAATGCCTCTAGGTCGGGTTACTAATCTCTTTTCAGGATAGTTTAATGTGATCATGAGGGCAGATTTTGTGGTATAAACAAAGATGCTATGGCCCAAGTTTCTAAAAAAAAGGTTAAGTGAAAAGATTAGACAGATATCTTAAAACATGTCTGCTGCAACATTCTTGTTTCTATTAGATGTGTTATTTCTAATTAGAGAGGCAATTTAGCTTGTGGTTAAGAACATGGGCTTGGAGTCAGACAGACCTTCATTTCAATCCCAGCCTTGCCACCTACTTACTAGCTGTGTGACCCAAGGCCGGTAGTTGGCCTCTGTGTGGGTCAAATTCTTTCTCTGTACAATTGGAATAATAAAGTCTATCTCTTGGAGTTGCTGGGAAGATGAAATGAGATAACATATGGTACATCCTATGCACTTAATAAATAGTAAATATTTTTATTAATTAAGGAGCCCTCGTGGTACAATAGTTAAACACTCAGTTACTAACTGGAAGGTTGGTGGTTTGAACCCACCAGCCGCTCCATGGGAGAAAGAGGTGGCAGTCTGTATCTGTAGAGATTACAGTCTTAGAAACCCTATGGGGCAGTTCTACCCTGTCCTATAGGGTTGCTGTGAGTCAGAATCAACTTGACAGCAACAGGTTTGGTTTTTGGTTTATTTTTATTAATTATTACCGTTATCATACCATTTGGCAAAGATTATATGAACGGAGGAATATACATTTTACTCCCTGGATACTGCAAGAAGATCTAGAGGAAAAATTCCAGATGCCAGAGAGTTTCATAGTTAATAAAAAGCTAAGAGTTTATTTTTGCCATACTTGCCAAAGAAATGGACACAGGTTAGCCTGCTGGAACTAGGCCCCAAAGAATCTAAACTTATCTCTAGAATGGAATTAGTGCTTCTGTTGGTTTTGGAAGGACCCCTGGTGATGCAGTGGTTAAAGCGCTTGGATGCTAATCAAAAAGGTCGGTGGTTCAAACCCACCAACCGCTCTGTGGGAGAAAGAGGTGGCAGTCTGCTTCCTTAAAAATTACAGCCTTGGAAACCCTATGGGGCAGTTCTACTCTGTCCTGTAGGGTTGGTATGAGTTGGAATCGACTCGATGGCAGTGGGGATTGGGGTTGGTTTTGGAAAGAAAGTTGTGAACGGTTTCACAATCCTAAAGGGAACCAAGCTGAGCTGGTGGTCAGCTACTGTGCACTGGTGGGCATTAGTGTGGCCATAATGGTGCCTTATAGCCAGCACCTGTTTTGATTGGTTGCACATTCATTCTGCTTGGTGGCAGGCCCATTTTGATTGGCTAGTGTCTGTACCTTACCCAGGGAAGTATTTGGAGTAGCATCCCTGGAAACAAAGTATGTGCTGTCAGTTTAAAAGATGTTAGTTTCTTTGTTAAAGGAGAGGGACCATTTTCTTTGTTAAAGCTATTAAGATTTCCTTTGCACTTCTCTCACTATATGATAAAATTGTGAGTGACAAGCATCATTAAATGAACTTTTAATAAAGGACGTGTGAAAGGATAATGATTCAGAATCTACAAGTTGAAGGACACCAAGTGTAAATTGAAAGTTAATGTTTATATAAAGTAGAGCTAGCAAAATAAACTGTGTTCAGTTCTAATATGGAACTGTACTAGAACAATATCTTCATGACTAACTGTGCAATTTTCTTTTAAGTTATGCAGACATTTTGATTGAGAGGGAAGTGTTAATGCAGAAGTACATTCATCTAGTTCAGATCGTAGAGACAGAAAAAATTGCCGCTAACCAGCTCCGACATCAACTTGAAGATCAAGATACAGAAATCGAAAGGCTTAAATCAGAGGTATTTCTCAGTCAGTACATTCCTTCTTATTGTTTCACATTTACTGTCATTGCCTCATGATTACCTAAGTCTGATTCATGGCAAAATTTTAATCCTCAACTGAGTTCCTATGCCATCAACACATATGTGGCTGCGCTATTGATCTAGAAGTGAATCCAAGTCTATGTTAGGATTAGGTAAATGTGTTACAGAAAAATATCAGGATAACACGCTACATATACATACATTTGATGATATCCTTCATAGATCAGGTATTCAAGAGTTGACCATAATATTGTACTGTTTTCTGATTGACTCTTGTAGTAATGATAATTGTGAGTCTATTATAATTTCAATCAAAGTCTAAAATGTCAACTAAGGAAGGACCAAAAATGAATTCAGAAAGACTTCTTTTTCTAGCTGACTGGATCTAAAGAGTCCAACTTTCTCCCCTCTAGAATTTTGAGTGGCACATTTGAATTAAAGTATAAGACATTTCCTAGGGTGAAGTTTTCCTGAAGTTGGAATTCCAGCCCTCTTTCCCTTATTCCATCCCCTCAGAGTATGAACTTCTCAGGCCCTCCACCCCCACGTAGAGGTTGACACCATGTGAGAAAAGAAGGTGGTCAGGGAGTCCACCACTAGGGTGGTGTGCCGGGTCCTCCCTCTCTCCCAGGTGCCTCAGGCTTTATGCAGAAACTCGTGTGTAGCTTTCTTTGTTGTCCTCGTCATTCCTCATGGGAAGTGATCAATAATTGAAGAATTGAAGAGGAATGTAGAGAATGAGATATTTTTCCCTCTTTCTGGGCAGAGGTGCCTTGTAGTATCCTCTTAGGTTTAAAGAGGAAAATAGGACAGGATGAACCCTGCTATTAATTGTATCCTTGTTGTCAGAAACTATTCAGGCCCCTCAGCCTTGACACCCTTCTTGTCGTTCTTACTGTCATTGGACAGCATTTTCCCCTTTATTTCCCCACACCTTCCCCCAAGATACTTTCTGTAAATTCTGTTGAGGGATTTTTACCTCCTGCTCCCTGTGTATATCACCTCCAGTGTACAGTACACGGGTGTTAGCTGATTTCCACTGGGATTGGAAAGCTTCTCCTGTGATGATAAGTTGCAGAGCGTGTTTACCATATCATTGGAGTTGTTAACGTCATGATTAGACCCTGAAATCTGATATAGTAGAAACAACAACAGAAAACTTAACAAACCTGCATTTTAAAAGACTGTATCAGGCACTGTAATTTAAAACAAAATTATTGTGTTCTTTCTTTGCCACAGTAAGCTAGAGCAGATGCTTGTCTGCTAAGTGACAGAGGTTGGTATTTATGAGAGAAGCTCGGCACCAAGCAATGTTCCCCAGTATCTACTTATGTGTGTTTATCTGTCTTCACTATGTTCTATTTTAGTCTGAACATAGATTCCAGCTAAAAACTGTCAGTAGCAGGTATGTCTTCTCGACAAGAGCCATAATTTATTTCCTACTCCTTTTATTTTCCCACTTCCCTACCAGAAAATGGCAGAGGAGTGTATTTGGTGTTGGAAACAAAAATGTAACAACAGTTCAGAGAGGGCAGTTATGATCTCTTAACTTGTCAAGTATTTGTGCTTACATGTCAGTAAACCGGTATAAGTTCTTGATGTAAGAGCCTGCAACTGAGTGGTAATTTAGTCAATTTTGTTGCTAAATGTAGTTGAGAGGCCACCTGGTTTTGAGTTACCCCTCACAGACATATAACTGAACCAGAGATACGTAGGGATCCCAGGTTTCAATTCTTCTCTCCTTTTCTGAGAAATCCTCTTGGCTGGCTTGGACCCACCCCAGGGCTTTGCACACTTCCCCCTGCAGTTACCATTTTCCCAAGGAAAACTGTGAGTCTGCTCTACCGTGTGTACCTGAAAGGCCACAGGTTGCCTATGGGAAACAAGAGTTTGAGCTGAGTATCACTGCACTTGAGACCACAGACATTATGGGCAGCTGCCCTCAGGAGAGATGGTTGACATGTTACTGAGCTCCTGAGGAAGGCTTGACCTAATTATCACTGGCAGTCAAGACTGAGTTTTGGGCTAACATGTCTCCTAATCCCAGGCCCCAGTTTACAATTTTCACAGCAACTTCTTACAAGCACTTTTGTTGGTAACACCAGGCTTGGGATGAAGTCCATGCTTTCCCTGCCTCAGCACCAAAGGAAGAGAAGGTGCATACAAAGTGAGTGTTTCTTGAAGATCTCATCAACTCCCTTCCTAGGCAGAACTCCCAGTGGGTTAATCCACTATTTCTGTAATCATGAAATGGACCAATTTTGTGTTATAGATTATCGCCCTGAATAGAACCAAGGAACGAATGCGACCTTACCAAAGCAACCAAGAAGATGAGGATCCAGACATCAAAAAAATTAAAAAGGTAGGACACTGAGGCTTTCAGGCTTTGAAGGGGCTTTGGCAACCAGGAGACTGTGCTGTAGTGATATCTTTGCCACTCTTCCCCAGAGCTGGAAGCAGTTTTGGTGTTTGTGTTTTAATGGCTCCCAGACTTGCCCTCAGATCTTTGGCACATGGTTCTGTCTCTGGAGAAGTTTCAGCTTGAGATTTATTTCCAGTCCTGGGAATCCTCTTTTGGGGTCTTTGGTAAGGGTGCCAAAACTGGACAGTAAAACAACAGTATTCTACAATTGGATTATTAAGTGCTGTTAAACCTCCTGATTTTGTGCTACTTTTTTTTGGAGAGTATTTTTAAAGTAATTACATTTTAAAAATAATTGTCTTCAGTGCTATTTAGGGAAGTTTTTTTTTTTTTTTTTTAAATACGTGAGAAGATTGAGTAAATCAGTATATCTGCTTAGATTTCTGTTTTACTATTGTTGTTTCTTGTTTAACATCCACATAAGCAGCAGATCTTTCCACCTTACTGTCATTTATAATTTAGGAACTTTTGCAGTGAGCCAGCCACTGGCACGCACTCTAGTCCCGTGTTTTGATTTATGTCATCTAGGTTTTGTGTTCCATAATCTTAATTGTCCTGTATAAAGCCCTTACTCAGCTTTGTTCACAGTATATTGAAATGTCTCACATTTGAAGAACTTTTCCTGGATACACATCTTTCAGTATTCATTCCTTCTTAATATTTTCTTATTCCTATTTATCTGTGCTAAATTATTCCCTGTAGTTATATCAGAACTTTAACTAAATATTGTTCAGACTTTGATTCAATGATTCCAAGGACTAATGTGCAATATTTTCAGTTTTCAAGAAATAAAAAACTAAAAAACCATTCCTATTTTAGAATTAAAAAAATTTATTGAATTTGATTTATGTTATTGTGTTACAAGGTTAATGTTTTAACTTTTCTTTTAAGAGTATGCAGTGACATGTAAATAAGCACATTTTCAGTTTTGCTGGAGAAAATGGTCTGTTAGTGAATAAGTGAACCGATTATCGCCCAGCCCAAGTAACAGAAAGGTTTTATTTGACACAAAATTCAATTAAGTTGATTTTTAAAAATATTTCTGTCAAGTGGAAGAATACTTTTTACATTTTTAAACTTTTCTGTTTCTTAATAGAAGTAAATTTTTAAAAACCCTATATTTGAATATGTTAAATAGATTTTAAAATTAATTATAGTGTCCTTTATGGGCCAAATCAAATTAATGTCTGTGTGGGAAGGGCTGTTTGCAGATGAAGTTGTTTCTCTATTCTGATCTTGCCAATATCAACATAATTTTTTGACTTTAAGAGACCAAAAAATTGAAATTGGTTATAAGTCTCAGAATGTTTTCGTTAGATTTGCTTAAATAATATGCGTACTATTTCTGCACATAATTCTATTAAAATGTGGTTGATTTTTATTGTCTGAGGTATAGTGACTTGCGTGTCTGTGTAAATTGACAGCGTGCTGACAAAATTGGTAGGCAAATGAGAGAATTTAGACATTGTAGAAGAGGAGTGGTTGTTTAAATGCATGATAATTTAGACAATGTGGGCAAAATAGCATGAAAAAAATAAAAAGTGTTAAGAGTGTGTTGAACAGATAAGAATGGTACTAAAAAAAGTTTGGCAGTGATTTGATGCTTTCAATGATATGTAAATTTGCAGCCTGCTTTGTTACTTACATATAACACATTATCATATAATTTCTTATATCAACAAAGGACTTTGGATATTTTTTGGTCCATTATTTTATAGATGAGGAAATGAAGACCCAGTGATGTTGATTAACTTGCTCAGGGTCATCCAGCTGGATAAATGGCAGAGCTTTTGGGTTAAGGATTCTGACCCATACCTGTCCGTTGCTCAGCACCCATCATTTACCCGGGCCTTTAAAAGATGCTCAGGCTAACAGTGTTTGTTGATTGGCAAAAACTCACAGACTAGCACCTTTTCCCAGGTTTACCTGTTAGTTTTCAAATCATACCTAAGGAATTCAGGTCAAAGTTAGAGGCTATCATGTTTTCTACAAAATAATTATATTTCATGTCCTTTTCCACAAAATAATCATCATTGCAAGTAGTTCATATGTGTTTTACTGATATGGCTGAGAGTCCTTACAACTAAAGAAAGGCAGGTGGAAAAGCACTGAGCCTTGATGCAGGTTTCCTAACTGTGTGGCTTGAAAAGAACTTTACTCACTTGTAAAAGGAGGGGGTTGACTGAACTGATCTTTTTTAAGGCAAAAAATTATTATTCTGTTTTGTTAAGAAATGAAGTGTCCACTTATTCCTTTCTTGAAATGTTCATAATTTAAATTATCCTATTATTATATTCTGGAATCCATACAGACACACCTAAACAGCTTAAGAAGTATTTATGGAAGAAGCTTGTGAATCTGAGGAAAAAAAAAAATTCCTCATTTTCCTGCTGTTTGGAAAAAGCCTGCCATTATTTATCCTACTGGCGAGACCATTAGCACACCAGTGAAAGAACAGTGTGCTATATGGCACAGGATAGACACGCTTACCCGAGTCAGCACCTTTGTTTTACTGATGAGAAAACCGAAAGCACAGAGAGATTAGGTCATAATGCAAGGTGTTACCATCAGTCAGGGCAAGAGCTGGGACTATATTCCTTCTCCAGTTCTCTTTCCAACGTACACGTTGTATCTATACTTTTTTCTACTAGATTTTTGGGCATGATAGAGTATAAGTTGTGTGTGTGTGAAAATTAGGTAACGTGTAATAATCTTTTTCTGCTACTACATAGGCAAAAAAAGAAGGAAAAAAAACAAAACAACGCAGGAGATGCTATTGATAGCTGTCTAATATAATTGTATTAAAAAACACATTGCAGCATTTTTTTTTTTTATATAAGAAAAATCCTGGAAACAACCCAAATGTTCAACACTTGGGGACTGACCGCAAAACTATAGTAAGTAGAATATCATGCGGCCGTTTAAAAATGGTAATAAACATTCTCCAGGGTAAGTTGTTAGGTGAAAAAAGCAAGGTGCAGAGCTGAGTATGTGTGTTCTCATTTTGTATATAAACGAAAATATATCTGGATATGCTTATATATATATGTACATATAGACACATAGAATACTGTAGTCCTGGAAGGATTAATAAAAACTGATTACATTGGGAGTCTGGAGTGGGAGAATTTTTGTTGTGTACTTTTACATTTTTTAAAAAGTACCTCTACTGTTTAAAGTTTTTACAATGTCCATATATTATTTAAAAAATACATGATGGAAAGAACAGTTGCATTTTCTCTAACACTGATTACTGGTGCACTCGAGAAAGCCAGTCTCACCCCTCTGTTGATGCCTTCTTGTTGTTTTTGCCCTGTAGGTTCAGAGCTTCATGCGAGGATGGTTGTGTAGAAGGAAATGGAAGACGATCGTGCAGGATTACATTTGTTCTCCTCACGCCGAAAGCATGAGGAAGAGAAACCAGATTGTGTTTACCATGGTAGAGGCCGAATCGGAGTATGTTCACCAGCTGTACATCCTGGTGAACGGCTTCCTCCGGCCCCTGCGAATGGCAGCCAGCTCCAAAAAGCCCCCCATCAGCCATGATGACGTCAGCAGTATTTTTCTCAACAGGTTTGTCTTTGCATAAACCAGACATTCATGAGAAAAACTCATTTGCATTTCTTAAAAGAATTTTTACTTCAAGTCTCATAAATTCATTTTAATGAATTCATGATGTTGCAAATAAGAAAGCGATCAGTTGTTTCATTATTAGTCCAAATTTTGCATATTTTCTTCTTGAATCTTGGCTTCTAATTTTTTCTTCACTATTTGACATGTTTTCTTGACATTGTGTGTGTGTGTTGGGGAAGATAATCTCCCTCATAAACTGGGGGAAATGGAGTAATTAATGAGCTCTGCATGTAATTACACAAAAGCATTTTAGGGAGAGCAGAAACCATACAAAGTGTGAGATTACTAGTAAATTTATTCACTCAGTAAATATTTACAGTGTCTTTACTGCTCAGGATTCATCTGTGAACATAGCAGGAAATCGCTGCCCTCATGGGGCTTAAATTTCGATGTGGAAAGACAGACAATAAATAGTAAATAAGTAAAATAGATAGTATATTGTATGGTGATGAGTGCTATGGAGAAAAATAAAGATGGGAAGAGGAGAAGAGGGTAAAGGAATACTTGGGTGTTCTACTTAATTTTAGTTATTTGGTTTTGAATAGATAATACATTCACATGGCTCAAAAATCAAAACAACATAAAAACATCAAACAATGCTTACAAGTCTCACTCCCACCCTGTCTCTGTCTATCCCAGAGATTAGTTTTTATTAGTTTCTTATGCATCCTCCTAATGTTTCTTGATGTAGAGCCAGGCAAGTATAAACACAGTCTTATTTACCACTTTCTTACTCAAAGGCAGTATATTTTAATAAATACTTGACCTTTTCACTTAACAATATTATCCTGGAGATTTTTCCACATTGGTACCTAAAGATTATTCTCATTTTCAAAAAAAAAAAAAAAAAAATCACTGCATGTCTTAGTCATCCAGTGCTGCTATAATAGAAATACTACAAGTGGATGGCTTTAACAAAGAGAAATTTATTTCTTCACAGTAAAGTAGGCTAAAAGTCCAAATTCAGGGCACCAGCTCCAGGGGAAGGCTTTCTTTCTCTGTCAGCCTTCTCATCAGTGTTCCCCCTGACTAGGAGCTTCTCCGCATGGGGACCCGGGGTCCAAAGGACACACTCTGCTCCTGGCATGGCTTTCTTGGTGGTATGAGGTCCCCCTGTCTCTCTACTCACTTCTATCTTTTATATCTCAAGAGATTGCCTCAGGACACAATCCAATCTTATAGATTGAGTCCTACCTCACTAACACAACTGCCGCCCATCCTCCCTCATTAACATCATAGAGGCAGGATTTACAACACATGGGAAAAATCACACAATACCGGGAATCATGGCCCAGCCAAACTGATACACACGTTTTTAGGGGAACATAATTCAATCCATGACACTGCGTGTTATTCCATTATGTGAATGTACCATAGTTTTTTATAGCCAATCTTCAGAAAGGCCTGAGAGATAAGGTAATAGTTTGAGGAAAGACTTAAGGTTGGTGAGGAAGTGAGCATGTGACCATTTGGGGGAAGAGTGATGTCAGCAGAGCGCAAAGGGCCTGATACAGGAGCCCTTAAGATCAGAGTGGCTAAAGCAGGGAGGAAGAGGGGGACGTCAGAGAGGTAAAGACTTTGGCTTTCACTCTAAATGATATGTGAAGCCATTGGAAGGTTTTGGGCAGAGAAAGGAATGGACATCACTACATTTTAAAATGCTCTTTCTGCTTTGCTGTTGAGAATAGACTGTAGGAGGTCAAAGTTGGAAGCAGGAATATTAGTTTGGTGACTGTATCAGTAAGCCACGTGAGAGATGATTGTAGCAAGTAGGCCTGTTTGGTGGCTATTACAACAGTCCAGGCAAGAGATAATTGTAATGAAGGCAGTGATAAGTGGTTGGATTCTGGGTATATTTTTAAAGTGGAATCAGTGGATTTATTGATGGGTTTAATGTGGGTTTTGAGAGAAAGTGAAAAGACCGGTAAGATTCCAGGCTTTTGGACTGAACACAACTAGAAGGATGGAGTTCCTGTTTATTCAGTGAGGAAGAATGAGGCAAGAACAGGTTTAGGAAGAAGAGTTTTAACTTGGACCTGTCAAGTGTGAGATGCCATCCAGGTGGAGACATCAAGTGAGTAGGGAGTGGATACTAGTCTCGAGTTCACAGGAAATATAAATTTGAGAGTCCAACAGCATAAAGATGGTATTTAAAGCAGATAGTCCAAATGAGATTACTGAGGGAGTAGATACAGATGGGTAAGAGAAGAGGAACAAGGACTGAGCCCTGGGACATTCCAACATTTAGAAGTTAGGGAGATGAGGAGGAACCAGCGAAGAAAGCTGAAGAGTATCAGTCAGTGCTATAGGATGAGAACCAGGAAAGTGGGTGCCCTTGGAAACCTGGGGGAAGAGTGAATGAGCAATTATTTCAAAAGGAGCTGTAGGTCAAATAAGATAATAACTGAGAATTGACCGCTGGATGTAGCAATTCAGAGTTTATTGATAACTCAAAGCCTGATTGAAAATATTTAGGAGAGAATGATGGGAAAGGATTGAGAGAGAGTGACCATACCAACTCTTCCAGAGAGTGTTGCTGTAAAGAAGAGCAGAGAAACAGGGTGGTAGCTGAGGGCACATCAAAAGAGGTTTTGTTTCTTTAAGATGGGGAAAATTATACCATATTAATATCTGGATAGGAACGATCCACTAAAGACAAAAAAATAAATGATGTAGGAGAGAGAGGGGACAATTGCTGAAGCAGTAAACTTGCATAGGCAAAGTAGATAGAATGTGGTACATAAGTCAAGAGGTTAGCATTAGGTGGCAACATGGACCAGGAAGGAATAGTACACGGTATTTTAGTTTCTTAGGGCTGCTGTAACAAAGTACTGCAGAGTAGATGGCTTACAAGAGCAGAAATTTATTGTCTCACATTATCGAGGCTAGAAATCAGATTCAGGGTGACAGTAGGGCCATGTTCTCTGCAAAGGCTCTAGGGGAAGGTCCTTTCTTGTCTCTTCTCCCTTCCAGTAGTCCCAGGCATTCCTTGGCTTGCAGCTGCAGCATAACTCCAGTTCTCTCCCTCCATCATCACTTGACATTCTTCTCTCTGTGTATGTCTGTGTCTTCTATTTTATAAAGACACCACTAATATTGGATTAGGGCACACCCTTCTCCAGTATGACCTCATGTTAACTGAGAACATGTTCAAAGACCCTGTTTACAAACCCGATCACACTTACAGGTACTGGGGTTTACAACTTCAGCCTATCTTCTTGGAGGACACAGTTCGATCCATGACACATGGACACATATGTGGTTAGGAAGCAAGGACATCAGCCAACAGTGAGGATGGGAGAGGCAGAGTTGGAGTTACAGAAGAGAGGAGCAGGTATGAAATAGTGATCAAGGAGAGAGGGGAATAAATGCATTAGGGAAAGGTAGTATGATTGCAAAGGAGCCCTGGTTGTGCAGTGGTTAAGTGTTTGGCTGCTAACGGAAAGGTCGGTAGTTCAAACCCACCAGTGGCTCTGCAGGAGATAAGACCTGGAGATCTGCTCCTGTAAAAATGACAGTCTAGGAAACCCTATGTCTACTCTGACACATGGGGTTGCTATGAGTCAGAATCAACTCGGCGGCACATAACTACAACAACAACAATAAGATTGCTAGGCAGTATTAAGAGCCCGTATTAGGCTATGGTCACGACTTTACAGTGAGACCAGTCAGGATGGTCCTGTGTTTTTCTTTAGGCACTTTCAGCTGCGTGGGTGAAGGTGCAGAGTGGGTGGAGGTTTGAGTTTAACTGGGATTAGTGTTGTGTGAGGTTAATATGATGAAGTGAGAGAAGAACAAGGGAGTTGAAGGTATATATGCAAGAAGAGGTTATAATGGTAAGCCATGGAGTCTAAACTCTGTAGAGAGAGAAGTGATGGTGTGAGGGAGTTTTGATCAACGAAGAAGTGGTAGGATCAGTGGATTTAGTTCCTGATGGGGTAAAAGGAATTTTGAAGTCAGGATTCTAAAGGCAGTGAACTGAAAGATAAGAGATGGTCAGAAAATGGTGTCATTGAAACTGAGATCAGGAGGAGGTACAGTTATTGACAATGACAAGGTCTGGAATACAATCAAGAGAATGTTGACTAAGGATAGTGGAGGACAAAATCTTTGGAGGACAGGAATTCAAAGACTTGAGAGGCCAGGTTACTGGAAGATTGTATATATATTGGAGTTGCCAAGGATTACGACAGAAATAGTGAAGTTCGCCTCCACTTCTGCCTTCCATGTTTTACCAGGTGCATCTATTGGTGGAAACTGAATTCACACCCAGAACCTTAGATGCAAGAGAGTTTGGAAAATGTAGTTTTAGGTCTCCACTCTCTCCACCTAGAAGAAGGATGGAATGGACATTGAAAGACTTATCTACACTACCTACCAAACTAGATTTGGTTGAAATCTCTAAACAACAGACACTACTTAGTTAAAATTTCTATAAAAGCAAAGAATATATAATCGCTAAGAAGTGTCTATTTCATTTCAAGAACTTTTGGAAATAGTAAGAACACTTTCTTGTAATGGAACTTGACTTTGTGGCCAAACGGGGATCTCACTTAGATGAGTAATTCTGTATTTGATTGTGTCAGTGTATTATTTCAGAAAAACCTTCAAAGGTTTATTCCTGCAGAGTAATTCTTCAAGCAAAAAGCAAAAAAAAAAAAAAAAGACTTTGCTAACTGCTCTTCTTGACCCTTTTGGGAACTTATATCCCTAATTTGTGCATGGTTCTCATTTTAGTGCCTCTATGTTGGCTCCGCCCTTTTGAGAACATTTTTGTATTTCCCTTTTGGGTGTCTTAGGAGTGGTTGCAGCAGAATTCTGCCATGTCTTTGCTATGGCTTTTCACCCTTTCTGTCAAAATTTATTTTAGTGAGAAAGTTGTCAGCTAGAATCATATCTGAAGAGAAAAAGGATAGTAACCTTAATTTTCTGATTATCGGTTGAAGTGTTGTATTCTAACAGTAGAAAGCTCATTTATAAACTGTGAAGAGTGCTATATAAGAATGAGTTGGTGCTTCCCATCCTCCAGTTTTTGAAGCTTAGCTCAGAATTTTATTTGGGTTTTTGAGGTAGTCTAAAAGATAAACCACTTAACAGAGGCTACAATGATCCATGCTATTATGGGTTTGGAGTTGGGAGGCTCCCCGAGATATGTATATATGAAGGTTTTAAAGAATCAGAAGACTTCTTTAACAAAACAACGGTTCTATAGTGACTAAATTATATTATTTTTCCATTTTTTATAGTGAAACGATTATGTTTCTTCATGAAATATTTCATCAAGGACTGAAGGCAAGGATAGCTAACTGGCCTACTTTAATTTTAGGTAAGTGCGTGCTATTGAGATACAAGATTTTCCTTTTAGTATGGCTACAATCAGAGACAAAAAAGCAGACAAACTCATGGTGACCCACGTGTGCCAGAATAGAACTGTGCTCCATAGGATTTTCAATGGCTGAGTTTTCAATGGGAGTAGGTTGCCAAGCCTTTGTTCTGAGGTGCCTCTGGGTGGACTTGAACCTCCAACCTCTTGGTTTGCGGCTAAGCAACTGTTTGTACCACCATAGAACTCTCTAGCCTATTCAGCCTAAAAAAGACCATTGCCTTCAATTCAATTCTAACTCATAATGACCATATAAGACAGAGTAGAACTGCCCCATAGGGTTTCCAAGGAGCAGCTGGTAGATGCGAACTGCTGACCTTTTGGTTAGCAGCCATAGCCCTTAACCACTGCACCACCGAGGCTCCTTTCAGCCTAACTGATAAAACTGATAGGAGCTCCCTTAGCTTCTGGGGATGTCTCCTTGCCACCTGGGCTCTGCCTCAGTGGTTACGTTTTGACCCTTTTCTGTGGCCCATTTTCCATGGAGCAGAGCCCAACTCCAGCCCCAGGGTATATTCCACCAGATCAGTCATTCAGGCATCTGCCCAGGGGCCCTGTGCGTGCTTGACACCTGGTGCTGGGAGCCACTCTCTGCTATTCCCATAGAATATCCACAGTCTCTCCCCTTACCATAATAACTTAGCACTGCACCAAGAGAAACTGCCATGTTTACTTCTTCTTTCTAGCTGATCTGTTTGACATTTTGCTCCCCATGTTGAACATTTATCAAGAATTTGTGCGTAATCACCAGTACAGCCTCCAAGTACTCGCCAATTGTAAGCAGAACAGAGATTTTGACAAACTCTTAAAACAGTATGAAGCCAACCCCGCCTGTGAGGGGAGGATGCTGGAAACGTTTCTGACCTATCCAATGTTCCAGGTAAATCATTTGTGATGCACTTTATAAGTCGTTTGTTCCAGCTCAGTATTACTGATATGCAGTATGACCAGGGTAAGATGTGTATTGTCTGTGAGGCATTGCTGTGCGTCTGCGTCACCTGTCGACTTGAACTTGACCCTGAGGTGAACAAATATTGTGCCACACACTCTCTGTCTGCCTAGTAGATATAAGAAAACCAGGTATTTTTGAAGCAAATAAATTGAGGATGATTTTTTTGAAAAGCAGTACGATTTTCTTTTTACAAAATGATCCCACACAGCCCTCTTCCACGGAGTCTCCTCCTCCAGCATGTTTAAAAATATTATTAGGTTTACAGAAATAGGACGCTGTGCAAATGTTCCAGTTTATGCTGGTTGCATAAAAGGTTCCTGGGGACTCTGGTGACTGCTGGGAAGGTTTTCCTGCTCATCCTCCCGCCCTACTGTGATTGCTGTTGAGACTCCCTTGGCTGGAGTTCTGGGGAGTTCAAGGAGGACCTCACCAGTCATGGTGGCTGTGGAAATTTAGGTGCCAGAAGGCACTGGCTGGATCTGAGACTCTTGGCACCCAGTCAGATTGCTGTAATGAGACCCGACCTTGCCCTCATGTTCACTTTTGGGGCTAGAGCAACCCAAGTGATCGAGAACTTGTGTTGTTTCCTGTGTCTAGGGCTTTGCTGTGAGGGAGCTCTTGAGTGAGAACTGAGGAGGCCAAAATGTGTATTGAATCTCCTTTTCTTTTGAAAAGTGTCGATTTTGTTTTTTGGAAAAGCATTGAGTGTTCCCATTGTGGAATTTATGGGACTTCTGGCCAGGCTTAAAAATTGTCATGTGGTAAACCGATTACACTAATCATGTGTGTTATGGTTACCGAGGGGCGCTTTGTCCTCAAACAGGCATCTCTGACCCCAGCTAATCATTTTGTAGCCTCAGAAAGAAATGTTGCTCTGGTTCATAATTGTTTGTCTTAAAGTTTGTCAATCCTGTTTGAAATCATGGAAGACAACATAGAAGTTAAGTATGATTTTTAAAAACCAAAAGGATGCATTTGAAACCACTTAAGTATAGTGAAACTTTGTAATGTTATTGTTCCCCACCCCCCGCCATGGAACTGAATTGTTTGAACTCTTTGCCTCTCTGAGGAATTATTTCACAAGGAAAAATTCAAAAACTTTTTTTACTGTAGATAAAACTGTAATTTAATATTTATTTACAGTTAAATAAATTTTGTGTAATGTAATATTCTTCTCAGATTTTATTTGGATCTTTGGCAATTAACTTCTAGGTAATTATTAAATAAGGAACACTGGTGGTGCATTGGCTAAGTGCTCGGCTGCTAACTGAAAGGTTGGTGGTTTGAACCCACCCAGAGGCTCTGTGGAAGAAAGGCTTGGCGACCTGCTCCTGTAAAGATTACAGCCTAGAAAACTCTCTGGGGCAGTTCTGCTCTGTCATATGGGGTCGCTATGAGTTGGAATCGACTCAACAGCACCCAACAACAACAACGATTAAATGCCCCAAATTGTATCTGCCCACTAGTCCCAAGTCAGGTGGATATACAAAGGTAGAGTTTTTAAAAAAAACACACGGAACATTTAGAGAGAGACCTAGATCCCCTTTGGACAGCCTGTTAATGTCTTTCCAGGTGCTACCTATTTCCCTCCTGGTGTGATTCTCTTAATGTTTTAAAATGGCAGGCTGCACTTGCATTCTAGGTGAGGTGTCCAAACACGGTTGACTATAGGGCCTTGGAAAGATTTTTTTAATTTCTTAAAAATGCTGGGATACTCTCCACCAACTTTCCTTACCTCCCATCTGAGGTTTAACCCCACTAGAAGGGACTTAGCATTTTGATAGACCTTGAGAATTCCCGTAGTGCCAGAAAAAGAGCTTTGGACTGGGAATCTTTAGGATGTCTTGCTCACCCTTCAACCATAGTATTGAGGAAAACAGTTAAACCAATCTAAATCTCTTTTTCTCAATCTCTCAATTGAGGCAGATGAGCTCTAGTTATCTCCCAGAGACTAGGAGGATTAGATTGGTTCTAGAAGTTTGGGTTGTATAACACTTTGGTGTTGCAAGGAGCCTGGTGTTAATCTAGGTCTCCCCAAAATTACGGTGGTCTCAAAGCCTAGAATTTAGGCTTTGTTCAGTTCTCTGGTTCTTCCAGAATAGGGTAACCAGAGGTCTCAGTTTCAGAGAGCCATTGCTCTGGAGAAGCCTCAGACTTATTTAGGCCAAAATTGGTTGGATTGCAAGAAATGAGCAAATTGAAAGAACTCTGAATGGTCTTTATTTGGTTTCCCACAATGGTTTAGTTTGAATAGACCAAGAGAGAAAATCATCAGTATGCTGCTCAAGGACCTCATTCTTCTTTGTCTTGTTCACTTGGTGTGTCTCCCTCTGTCCTCTCTCTGCGAATGACCATATGAAACACTTAGGCAGAAATCACCCTTTCCAGAAGTTTGAAGGTTTTATCTTACTGAGTTCACTCTATCCGCCTTGTCCCCTTTTGCTCCTTTCACTACTGCGGTGAAATAGTTGTGAAGGCGTTGGCCATCTCAGAGGGTCCAGGGAATATCTGCTCCCTCTGCATATGTTGTCTTAGCAGCAGTACTTCTGCGCCTGCACTTGGCTCCCATGTAGGGCTGGATGCCTCAGGATGAAGCTCTATACTTTTTGCTGCAAGGCAACACTGAAGGAGATGACCCTCGTTCATACCATCAAGGGGACTCTGGCCCAGATTTTTCCTTGAGTTTAGATATGGGGCAGAGGTTGATGTGGGGGCTGAGGGAGAAGGAGAGGTGATTGGAAGCTTTTAGCCTGTATCTGAGTAGAAGAGAGAAGGTGTTGTATTCTACTTCTTTCTGGGCCCTTTGTCAAGTAAGTTGATTGCTGCTGTTATTGAACTGTGTTGCAACTATAGAGATGTGGAGGAATTGTAGAATTTGAATGATGCTGTGAAATTCTCCTCAGTTGAACTATCATACCAGTTAAGTCCAAGTACTGCCAAGAAATTTGTTATGGAAAATAATGTAGTTATTAACATAATTTATTTAGTAAAGACAGTGGCTTGGCTGCTACTATTTAAATTGGCTTCAGCTGCTCATCTGCTCATTTGGATATTTTCATGGTGAAAGTCCATAGGTAAGCTCATCATAAAATCTGCCCCTGACAAGAACAACACTATTAGATGTTCTCCAGAAAGTACCCACTTGCCTCTCTATTCCCTATTTACTGTAATTGCGAGCAAGCTACCTAAATAATGTCTATAAAGTGGCAAGTATTTGTTCCATAATTGAAAGCAGGATTATGATTCATTCAAACAGTACTTACTATGATTCTTGTGTTTTTTAAAAACAGATTTATAATCAGCTCCTGAATATACAGTTGAGCCCATTGGAGGGCCGTTTGACTTTTCTGCAGACCTTCCTTTGCCTCCTTTTTGGCAGTTTCAGGCTTATTAGTTCTTCTACCAGAAAGGGAAAGAACCAGTTACTGAATTAAAAGTCTATCCATTTGAATCTTTGCCAGGCAGCTCTCTAAAATAGATTGAATTAATGGGGGAGGATCATGAAACTATTGACTAAACTTAGTTTTGTGGGTTTTCAGTGTATTGTAAGTAGTCAGGCTCTCCCACTCCTGCCCTCTTTGTAATGAAAAATTAATACATTGGGTGTTGATTGCCTTAATTTCTTGTAGAACTATTAATTTAGAGGTAAACTTTTATCAGTCATGGGATTGTGCCAACAACGGGGATATTTGAGAGCACACCTATGCCAGGGGCTGGCGCCAAGCAGGACAGCTGTAAAGGCTGTGTCTTAGTGAAAAGACTATGAGATGGAGAGGCAGCAAGCCTCCTCCATACGTCCTCCAGCTTTCCACTGTCCTAATGAAGTCTTTCTGCACTTTCCGAAACCTTGACACGGACATTCCCTAGGACCCGATCCCAGAGTATGAGCTGCAGATGGATGTCTGCTGTGCTGATGGCGCTACCCTCTGTGCATAGTGCACGGATTGTGGGCGCTCAGTAGATATTAGTAAACAACCGAATGAAGACCACCACCTGCAAGAGAGCAAAAGCAGGGCCATAGATGGAGCCACCAACACCTCAGCACAGAATGGAAGGAATTACCCACAAGGCTCTGGAAAGCTGTTTTCATTTTCTTCATTCTCAGAGGTCTTTTCAACTTTTGAGTGAGACACTGTTTCCACAGAAGAGAACCACAAGGGTGGGCTCTGATAGGATGCAGCTAGTACACTAGTCAGAGCCAGGCTCATACCTGTCTTTACCAGTTACTGTCAGGCCACCTTGGACAAGTTACTGAACCTCTTCACGTCTTGTTTCCTCATCTATAAAATAGAGAGAAAATCTTTATGTTACTGTAGGGTTGGACTCAACTTGCAAAGTGTTGAGCACATGGTCTGACCCACAGTGGGGATGTTATGGTAGCTGTGGCTCAGGCATGGTATTATAAAGTGAAACCCACACTCTCTGCTTTCTAAAAATCTTTAGTTTATAAGCCAGTAAAAAATAAATATATTGAATCACTGTAACTTGAGTTAATTTTCTTCTGTGTCCCATTAAAACCTTCATAGGGTTGATAGAGTTTCTGTCTTTGACAGAATTCAGATAAATAGTCTTTTTGTAAACTAAATTACAAATAAATGATCTAATTAAACAATACTTTTTACTGCTGGGGCAAGTGGAGGTAAAGTAGGAGCAAAATGTAATAAGGATGAATGTATAATCTTCTCCCAAGCTTTAATTTTTAAAGAGAACGTTACCATAGGATTGTCATTTTTTTTTAAGTTTTATAAACAAATAAATCTAAAATACAGACTCAAGTGACTTGATGATAGCTACATGTGCTTCGCTATGAGCCAAGTTTTGAAAATGTATGATTATGTAAAAAAAAAAAATCAATTGTTTCTTTCGTAACACAATAATTTATTACTACCTTTTCGTGTGTTCTTGGTGAAGTCTTTGTATGTGTGTGTGAAGTTTGAAGCATTGTTTGTATTAAATGTATTTCTTAGAATCATATACTTGTAAAACAATCAAAACTGTAAGAGTAGAGGTGAACTTCTCAGAAGTGATGATGGTGCCATAGAGGATGTCCTGGTGTGATCCATTCTGACCTCTTGCTCATTCTGCTTTGTTTGCATTTAGATCCCCAGGTATATCATCACACTTCATGAACTTCTAGCTCATACACCCCATGAGCATGTGGAGAGAAAAAGTCTGGAGTTTGCTAAATCAAAACTAGAGGAACTGTCCAGGTATGTAAAGAATTTGTAAGACTTGAGATGGGAAAGCAGCAAATTATTCTCTCGTGGAGACCTAAAACCAAGAAGCAAGACACAAATCCAGCTTCTCAGATTCACCTGGAAATTAAATATATGTAAAATATTAAATATATCTTTAAAAATTGAATATATTAATATTTTGAAATCAAGTATATTTGGATTTAAATTTGAAAATGTTCACATTTTTTTTCAGCACGTTGTTGTTGTTAGGTGCCATCGAGTTGGTTCCGACTCACAGCGACGCTACGTACAACAGAATGAAACACTGCCCAGTCCTGCGCCATCCTCACAATTGTGGTTATGCTTAAGTCCATATTTGCAGCCACTGTGTCAGTCCATCTCATTGAGGGTCTTGCTCTTTTTCCCTGACCCTCTACTTTGCCAAGCATGATGTCCTTCTCCGGGAACTGATCCCTCCTGATAGTATGTCCAAAGTATGTGAGACATAGTCTTGGCATCCTTGCTTCTAAGGAGCATTCTGGTTGTCCTTCTTCCAAGACAGGTTTGTTCATTCTTTTGGCAGTCCATGGTATATTCAATATTCTTCTCCAACACCACAATTCAAAGGCATCAATTCTTCTTCGGTCTTCCTTATTCATCGTCCAGCTTTCACATGCTGGAGGTGATTGAAAACACCATGGCTTAGGTCAGGCACACCTTAGTCTTGAAGGTGACATCTTTGCTTTTCAACACTTTAAAGAGGTTTTTTACAGCAGATTTGCCCAACACAGTGCATTGTTTGATTTCTTGACTGCTGCTTCCATGGGTGTTGATTGTGCATCCAAGTAAAATGAAATCCTTGACAATTTCAATCTTTTCACCTTTTATCCTGAAGTTGTCCAGTTGTGAGGATTTTTGTTTTCTTTATGTTGAGGTGTAAGCCATACTGAAGGCCGTGGTCTTTGATCTTCATCAGTAAGTGCTTCAACTCCTCTTCACTTTCAGCACGCAAGGTTGTGTCATCTGCATATCGCAGGTTGTTAATGAGTCTTCCACCAATCCTGATGCCACGTTCTTCTTCATATCATCTAGCTTCTCAGATTTATTTGCTCAGCATACAGATTGAGTATGTTGAAAGGATACAACCCTGACGCACACCTTTCCTGATTTTAAACCATCCAGTATCCCCTTTTCTGTTCAAAGGACTGCCTTTTGGTCTATGTATAAGTTCTGCATGAGCACAATTAAGTGTTCTGGAATTCCCATTCTTCATAATGTTATCCATAATTTGTTGTGATCCACACAGTTGAATGCCTTTGCATAGTCAGTACAACACAGGTAAGCATCTTTCTGGTATTCTCTGCTTCCAGCCAACATCCATCCAACATCAGCAATGGTATTCCCCATTCCATGTCCTCTTCTGAATCTGGCTTGAATTTCTGGCAGTTCTCTGTCGATGTACTGCGGCAGCTGTTTTTGAATTATCTTTAGCAAAATTTTACTTGTGTGTGATATTCATGATATTGTTTGATAATATCTGCATTATGTTGAATCACATTTCTTTGGAATAGGCACAAATATGGATCTCTTCCAGTTGGTTGGCCAGGTAGCTGTCTTCTAAATTTCTTGGCATAGATGAGTGAGCGCTTCCAGCATTGCATCTGTTTGTTGAAATATTTCGATTGGTATTCTGTCAGTTCTTGGAGCCTTGTGTTTTACCAATGCCTTCAGTGCTTCTTAGACTTCTTTCTTCAGTACCATAGATTCTTGATCGTATTCTACCTCCTGAAATGTTTGAACGTCGACCAATTCTTTTTAGTACAGTGAGTGTGCATTCCTTCCATCTTCTTTTGATTCTTCCTGCATTGTTCAATATTTTACCCATAGATCCCTTCAATATTGCGACTTGAGGCTTGAAGTTTTTTCTTCAATTCTTTCCACTTGAGAAATGCCAAGAATGTTCTTCCCTTCTAGTGTTCTAACTCCAGGTTTTTGCACATTTCCTTATCATACTTTATAGCTGTGCCTCACTCCCTCTGAAATCTCTATCTAAGAAGACCCTTTCTTGTGTCTTCCATCCTCTGGTAGCCCCAGGCGTTCCTTGGCTTTTATAGCCATCTTCATGTGGCTGTCCTTCCTGTGTCTATTTGTCTATACCTCTTCTCCTCTTTTATATGTACACCACTCAGAATGTATTAGGACCCACCCTACTCCAGTATGACCTCATGTTAACTGACAACATCCTCAAAGACCCTATTTCCAAACATGGTCATGTTTACGGTGCCAGGGATACAAAATTCAATCCATAACTTAGCTCTTCTTTGCTTACCTGCTACAGAAATAGAAAATATCTCTTACTGTGATTCTGTCTGTGTTGTTTCTCACAGGGTGATGCATGATGAAGTGAGCGACACTGAGAACATAAGGAAAAACCTCGCCATAGAAAGAATGATCGTCGAGGGTTGTGATATTTTGCTGGACACCAGCCAGACTTTCATCCGTCAAGGTAAATCTTTGCTCAGTGGACCTGTGATCTAAGTGATCCTTGTGGCTGTCACATTATCACTGACAGATCCAGGAAAGCCTTTTGGAGCAGGCCTAGTTTAGCTGTGTAATTGGTGCTGTTCATGCAGGACACCCCCGTAGCCTTGACTGAGGCTGTGGTTGAGGCCCACATTTGTGCTGTTTCTTTTCAGGGGCCATGAAAAACAGCAACACAATAATAGTAAAGCACGAGTGGGACAGTAAATTACATTCTGACTGGACTCTCCTCCTCAGTGGACCGGACATTCTCTACAGCTCCAAGCAGGACAGGTCGGTCTGGCCAATTGGAGTGGCAGTGCCAGGTGGTGACAACATCCAGGCAAAGGCCCAAGAGAAACTTGCATTACTCAAAACCCTTTCACGTAGCAGTGGGGACAATGTCCGCAGTGAGAACAGCTGTCTCTTGTTCCCATTTTTCATCAGCACTTCCAGACCGGCCCCACCTGATATGATTTAACTGGTAACTCCAGTTGCCAGATGAAATGTTTCACAGTTCACCCCGCCATGCTTTGGCAGTGGCAAGGTATCATGTTTGCAAGGTGTGTTTTGGGGAAATCACCCAGTAAATTAAATTTTCGAGCTTCAGAAGAGTTGGAGATATTTCTGCCAGAATCTGTGTAGAATCAATAGTCTAACAGTGCATATTCTTACTTGACTCTTATTCCAAAGTACAAGAAATAAACCACATCCCAAGTTATTTTTAAATGCTTAGGTATTCTGGGGTAAGGTATCGTGCTGCATGGAATCGATTTTAGACAAAGTATTGCACACATTATGTATTTGAATTTTTCAAGGAGTGGTGCATGAATTTGCAGCTAGAATTAACCTTTAATGTAGCTTCTGTTTATTATGTGCCAATATCATTTGAAGATATTTGCATTGCCTTTGCCTACCATAATGTGCTGCTTAAAATATTTTTCATCTCCTCAAACAAGACATTATTTGTGCAGTGAACATTCATTTTTGCACTGAATACTTAAAAAGTTTAACACATGCCGTTCTATTTTCCATTATTTATTTCCAAAGAGAGAAAACACACATGTTAAAGTTTGGAATTATATTTTAGGAAATGATACCTTTTCCCATTTTGGGCTTTAGATACTATTTTTTCTTTAAATAATGGAGGAATATAATGCTAACAACATCAGGCCTTCATAAAGTCTTTGAGTCCCCACTTGTGTAATTTCCCCTCTATTGCTCTGCACACAATGTGTCCAGATACTGGTTGCCTGCCCTCCGGGCACTTGTCTGCCTCTGTGCCTTTACCTGTGCTGTCCCCTAGTCTGGGGGGCCAAGAATACTCTTATCTACTTTGATCATGCCTATTGAAGGTCTGCTTATCCTACCAGGCTCAGGTCAGATACCTCTAAGGAGCCTTTTTAAATTTCCTCCTCACCTGTCCTCCTCCTCCCCCCAGTTAGAATGAATCTACCTTTCTCCTCGTTTCCAAGACATTTAGCTTCTCAGTGCATGTGTTTCATCCTCTTGGGTATTACTGATATTTGTTTGCATGCCGATCTCCCCCAATAATTGTAAACTCTGAAGGGCAGCAGGTATGAATTCTCTCTGCCCCACTATGCCTAGTATGATGCTTTCCATGTTATAGATACTTGGAAAATGGGCATTGAAGTTAAATTGAATCCTTCATTGAATTGCAGTTATGAATGTAAGATGTCCTCTTTTCTGTTTTTCTCGTGTTTGGAGTTCACTAGAAACATCTCTTAATTGACTTAAGTTTTACAATATGTGAGAATGGAAATGGAAATGAAAGTTTTTTTTATAACTAGTATAAAATTTCTGAAAGAACTCTTGATTGCAAAATATTATTATCCATAAACATCTAATATACTTCTGCAAGCTTAGACTATTTTGGTTTAAGCATTTATAATAAAAAATGCTGGAAGGTCAAATATTTTGAATAAGACATATTTCTTTTGCATTGCACCTGGAAAAAATCAATCATGAGCTACTTCTCCCCTTGATTCCTGTTCATATGTTATTTATTCCTTGTTATGTACCATATGTTTAGGGCACTTCTGTCAGCTCTTTATATTCCTGATGTTATTATTGTATTGATATCAGTATAATGATTTGCCTTTCAGCAATATCTTTGCTGTTTTGGTTAGTTAGTCTGTTTAGGAATTATTCAATAAAGGTGTTTTAAAAAAATCAGACCTTAATCTGAAAGTAGAAAGTAATCCAATTAGACAAAATCTGGAAGAGTTTGCGTCGTTTTGCTTTGGTTGCTCCTATTTTCACTTCTATTAAATACTCTTAACAGTGTGTTAAGACCCGTTGAGGTGTTTTTGTTACACCTATGCCTCACTTATTGACTGTCTGGTTATCCTACATTTTGCATACAGGGCAATAGTAAAAATCTACTCTCTGTCTATGTTGTGCATTAACAACGTATGTCTGGCATTAGCAAACACCAAGGTGCTGGCTGTAATGGTTAAGGTTATGTATCAACTTGGCTGGGCCATGATTCTTAGTAGCTTGGCAGTTATATAACGATGTAATTTGGCATTTATATAATGATGTAATTTGACAGTTATATAATGATGCAGTCATCCTCCATTTTGTGATCTGATGTGGTCATCCTCCGTTTTCACATAATGCTGATTTCCGCATAATGACCTGGTCTTTGGAACCTAATCATGTTGATAAGTGAGGAGTGGATGTATTCTTTTAAATATTGAGGGATTCCATTCTCTATGAAATGGACTATGATTTATCTCTAATGTTGTGCTAGAATTTGTGTCATTTACTTTTGGGATTATATAGGGTCTATTTCAGTGTGTATGAGTGTGTGCACATGTGCCTGTGTGTGTGTACATGTGTGCATGATGTCAGTCTTAAATTAGTTTTTATTCTGAGGACTAGGAAAAAAGCCACCCAGGTCATCTGAAAGATCTCCTTAAAAGAGTATCAGCCAGTCTAGAACGCCATTCCATGGGAATTTAGTGATTGAAATAACAGAACTTTTGTTGTAAGTTGATCTCAATTGTTTGGTAGTCTGATAACAGGATGCAGAGAATGCTATCATAGCAATGGTCTGATATTGAAGAATTACTAATTATTTCTCTAATTTGCATTTAATAGAGAGGAACCTCTTCCTCATGTCTCATGGCTATGTTGAAATATCATGTCAAACATAAGATGAAATGTGAAAAAAAATACACCTAACATGATTTTTCCAAGTATGATTATTTTATGAAGCAAACAATAGTGTTTCAATTTCTCATTTTTTAATTAGTATATTTAGATTTTTGTACATACTTAACATACATAGCTTCTGACTTAGATTTAGGTGAACAGTTATAGATTAAGCAAATTAGTATATAGTTGCCAAGGAAACACTTATATTTTCCCTCAAAGCTGAAATTCACAGTAATTAATAATATATGAACCTAGCGGTGTATTCTGTAATTTCTTACTTAGAAAATCATTAAATTGCTAGAAGCATTTACCAACAAACTTATTATTATCAAATTTTCATAGCCTTGTTTATAAACCCATTGCCGTCAAGTCGATCCCAACTCATAGCAACCCTATAGGATGGAGTAGAGCTGCCACATAGGGTTTCCAGGGAACGGCTGGTAAATTCGAACTGCTGACCTTTTGGTTAGCAGCCTGAGCGCTTAACCACTGCACCACTAGGCCTCCAAAATCAAATAAGATAGCATTATAGCCTTTCCAAAAATGACTCCCAAACCCATTTGTCCACCAAGTCATTTGTCCAAGCCCCAGTCTGTCACTGGGCCCTACCTAATCTGCCTTGAATACTTGTAACCACCCATGACAAAGTTAGACCTTAACTGCCTTTTTCCATCTGCCCCCCCTTCTGAAGTTCAGTTTTTAGGTCCTTGCTCAATTCACTGCCATCTCTTGGCTGCGACGCTCGATTAGCCGTGAACTTGGGAAAGCTGCTTAGCATTTCAGGCCTCAGTTTCCCCACCTGTGAAATAAAGGGGATGACCCAGGTCATCTGAGAGTTCTCCTCTAGCTTTGATTCCATCCCAGACAGTCCATGAGTACAATCCTTTTGCTGCTATTACATGCTTATCTACTTCTTGAACCTTTCTGCCTTCTGCTTTACCCATACTTCCTTTACTCTTCAAATTTAATTACCTTCTGCGTGGACTCTCTGCCAGTTTGTTCCCAATGACATCGCTCCTTCATTCACTCTCCTCTTGCCCATTCCCTTCCCTGGAATCAAGCCTTCTTCTGGCCCTTTTGTTCCCTTCTCCCACTCCTCCCCCAGGGCTGCTTCTTTAGGTCCAGAAGAGCTGCCTACTTGGTGTCTGTCAAGCAGCCCAGCTTTAAACACTCACCTAAGTAGATGGAGTGAAATTTGGGGTGGAAACTTAGGTCCTTTTACCACCATGCATATCTTTAAATCTTTGTTAAAAAATAGATACTATTTGGAATATTCATATGTTAATGTGAAGCTTTTGTGACTCACAATCATAGTTTTACTGTTTTATGTATGTGTTCTTTATATAAAGAACTTTAGTGGGTTTTTTCCACTTGTAGAAGTAATCTGTGCTCATTAAAAAAAAAATCAGGTATCACAGAAAAAGTATGAAGAGGAAAATAAGATTGCTTGCAATCTCATGTCTTGGTGAGGACCACTGTTAACATTTAAGGGTTGAATATACTTTTAATGGTTCTTATGAAGCTGAAATGAGCCTCTGTAAGGCTGCATTTGGGGTAGGTGGTGGGTAAGCAGATATTAGAAATATTGATGGCTCAGGGCATTTCAAAAGTCAGAGCCAAAAAAAAAAAAGTTGAGAATTTAGAGGGTTAAAATGTTGTGGGGTTGTTAACCAATGTCATAAAACAGCATGTGTGCTACTGTTACATGAGAAACTATTTGTTCTGTAAGCCTTCACCTG